TAAAAACTTAAAACTTAACCCCCCCCCCCCTCCCCTCCCCTGGAATAATTCGTTGTTGAATAAACCATCTTTGACAGGGCCCAAAAGCAAAAGCTTAGGAGGAGGTAGAGAACAAACAAACTTGTTTCGAATTATAGTTGGATTTAGTAAGGCCCCTACAAGTGAGACTAATATTCCTATTCCCAACTTTCACAATTTCAAACTACTATTCATTTTATACGATAGGCATTTTCAATTAAAACAATTTGGGATTAAGTTGCTTTTTTTAGCCGCGGCATAGATGCTCATAAAATGGGCTTTTTTTTTTTCAGTTACAAACTTTTAGCTCATAGCTCCATTTCTTGACCGATTTGAGATCTAGTTACAGCCGCAGCTGTTGAGGATGCCCTCTTATTAAAAATCTAACAGTTTCACGTGAAAATATACAACGTAGTACAAATTCTTAACGAGTTGAAAATACGATTACCGTTCCGTGAGTTTCTCACTACAAATTTTCACAAACCTACTAAACCTACTGAATGTTTTTCATTTTCTGTATAAAAAAAATTATTAAAATTTACATACCATTCTCAGGTTTGTGTATTGTACGTTACACTTGTAGATGGCCTTTAAAAAGTGTTCACCAGTGTATTGAGGGGTGTTGCATGACCAACCAGAATCGGAGTATCACGTAGAATGGGTCGGGAAAAAATTACCGACGCATATTATGTATTGCTCATCATAGTCTGAAATATCTCTTATAACAAACTAAGAGACTCTTATAAACACCTAACTTGGGTTTTCGAGATTTTCAAAAGCTATTAAGACCTTCAGTTTAGCCAAAAAACATAGCTAAAGTAGAGAACTGGTAAGTAGCGTAACAACCAAATGTTCTACTGATTATTCTTATTCTGACGTTAGAAGGGCTAGCTCAGCAATGCTTGAAGTTGTTGCGATGATTTACATCAAAATGTTGCATTTTAACTTGGGGAGTGCAGAAGCGGTATAACGTTTCAATGACTTCAACATATGATGTACATCAAGACAACTCGTCACACCAGGCTAAAACTGCTATTCATTAATATTGATTTTTTTTTAAAAAGAGGAGAACAAGTAATAAAAAAAAATAAGGATGATGTAGGGATGGCAGTGCCAAAAAGTACAGAAATAAGATGGGGAATGAATACACAAACCATACAAAAGAAATCCCTACATAAGTAGCCAGTGAGTCGATGTTACAAGCGTGTGTGAATTAATCATTGTAAGATATTGTAGCAGTATTCTGTTTAAATGTTTTTATTCAAACTTCAATTCATGCAAACGAAAGAAATTCAACAATTAGTTGTGGACAAAAGTTGGAAATATTTGGCTACTTATGTAGGGATTTTTGTGTATTCATCCCTATCCTTGTTTCTCTACTTTTTTGACATTGCCGTCCCTACATCATCCTTATTGTTATTTTTTGTCAAAAAAAAATTATTACTTCTAAAGTTGTTACAGAAAACTGGGATGTTTATATTCAATAAACTAATTCTTTATTAAAAATAATTACTGGTAAAGAAATGAGTATA